TGTAGTTGTGGTTGGAGCAGCAGTGGTTGTGGTTGGAGAAACTGTGGTTGTTGTGGGAGCAGCTGTGGTTGTGGGAACAGCTGTGGTTGTTGTTGGAGCAGATGTGGTTGTGCTTGGAACATCTGTGGTTGCACTTGGAGCAGCTATGGTTGTGGTTGGAGAAGCTTTGTTTGTGGTTAAAGAAGCAGTGGTTGTTGTGGCAGCAGATGTTGTTGTGCTTGGAACAGTTGTGGTTATTGTGACAGCAGCTGTAGTTGTTGTTGGAGCAGCTGTGGATGTGGTGAGTGCATTAGTTGTAGTTGTTGCAGCAGCTGTGGTTGTTATTGGAGCAGTTGTGGTTGTGGATGGAACAGCAGTGGTTGTGGTTGGAACTGCAGCTGTGGTTGTGGCAGCAGCTGTAGTTGTGGTTAGAGCAGCTGTGGTTGTGGTGGGAGCAATATTTGTAGTTGTGGCAGCAGCTGTGGTTGTGCTTGTAGCAGCTGTGTTTGTTGTGGGTTCAGCTGTAGTTGTGGTTGGAGCAGTTGTGGTTGTGACTGAAGCAGCAGTGGTTGTTGTGTCTGCAGCTGTTTTTGTTACAGAAACAGCTGTGGATGTGGTTGAAGCAGCTGTGGTTGTTGTAGCAGCAGATGTTGTTGTGCTTGGAGCAGCTGTAGTTGTTGTAGGAGCAGCAGTGTTTGTGGGAACAGCTGTGATTGTAGTTGGAGCTGCAGTGGTTGTGGTTGGAACTGCAGTTGTAGTTGTGGCAGCAGCTGTAGTTCTGGTTGGAGCAGCTGTGGTTGTGATTGGAGCACGAGTGGTTGTTGTGGGAAAAGCTGTGGTTGTGGGAACAGCTGTGGTGGTGCTTGGAGCAGCTGTGGTTGTTGTTGGAGCAGCTGTGGTTGTTGTTGGAGCAGCTGTGGTTGTGCTTGGAGCAGCTGTGGTTGTGGTGGGAGCAATATTTGTAGTTGTGGCAGCAGCTGTAGCTGTCGTTGGAGCAGCTGTAGTTCTGGTTGGAGCAGCTGTGGTTGTGATTGGAGCAGGAGTGGTTGTGGGAAAAGCTGTGGTTGTGGGAACAGCTGTGGTGGTGCTTGGAGCAGCTGTGGTTGTTGTTGGAGCAGCTGTGGTTGTGCTTGGAGCAGCTGTGGTTGTGGTGGGAGCAATATTTGTAGTTGTGGCAGCAGCTTTAGCTGTGGTTGGAACAGCAGTAGTTGTGGTTGGAGCAGCTGTGGTTGTGGTTGGAGCAGCAGTGGTTGCGGTTGGAGCAGCTGTGGTTGTGATAGAAGCAGCAGCTGTGGTTGTGGGAACAGCTGTGGTTGTTGTTGGAGCAGATGTGGTTGTGCTTGGAACAGCTGTGGTTGCACTTGAAGCAGCTATGGTTGTGGTTGGAGAAGCTTTGTTTGTGTTTAAAGAAGCAGTGGTTGTTGTGGCAGCATATGTTGTTGTGCTTGGAACAGCTGTGGTTTTTGTGACAGCAGCTGTGGTTGTGGTGGGAGCAATATTTGTAGTTGTGGCAGCAGCTGTAGTTGTGCTTGGAGTAGCTGTGGTTGTGCTAGGAGCAGCTGTGGTTGTTGTGGGAGCAGCTGTAGTTGTGGTTGGAGCAGCTGTGGTTGTGACTGAAGCAGCAGTGGTTGTTGTGTCTGCAGCTGTGGTTGTTACAGAAACAGCTGTGGATGTGGTTGAAGCAGTTGTGGTTGTTGTAGCAGCAGATGTTGTTGTGCTTGGAGCAGCTGTGGTTGTTCTTGGAGCAGTTGTGCTTGTTGTGGGAGCAGCTTTTTTCGTGGTTGGAGCAGCTGTGGTTGTGCTTGGAGCAGCTGTGGTTGTAGTCAAAGCAGCTGTGGTTGTGGTTGGAGCAGCTGTTGTTGTGCTAGGAGCAGCTGTGGTTGTGCTTGGAATAGCTGTGGTTGTTGTGGGAGCAGCTGTGGTTGTGGATGGAGAATCAGTGGTTGTGGTTGGAGCTGCAGTTGTAGTTGTGGCAGCAGCTGTAGTTGTGGTTGGAGCAGCAGTGGTTGTGCTTGGAGCAGCTGTGG